TCACATGGGTGGTGTCGGTGATGGAATGTTTTATGAAATTAAACAATAAAGTTTTTTTTAAAAAAAAAAACAACCTCCAAAGAAGGAGAGCCCACCACCTCCCAAGGAAGCCTGTTCCACTGAGGAACTGCTCTAACCGTCAGGAAGTTTTTCCTAATGTTTAGCCGAAAACTCTTTTGATTTAATTTCAACCTGCTGGTTCTGCTCAGAACTTCTAGGGCAACAGAAAACAACTCCACATCGTTCTCCATATGACGGCACTTCAAGTACTTGAAGATGGCTACCATATCACACTCAGTCGTCTCCTCTCCAGGCTATACCCAGCTCCTTCAATCTTTCCTCACAGGACTTGGTCTCCAGACCCCTCACCATCTTCATTGCCCTCCTTTGGACACATTCCAGCTTGTCTATATCCTTCTTAAATTGTGGTATCCTTCTTAAAATGTGTTAGGGCACCTGGAAATCAGATGACATTGCCTTGGAAGGGGAGCAGATTGGCCCCAAAGCCCGTCACTTGACTGGCTCTGTTTTATAGCTCGACCAGGCAAGTTACAGAAATGCATTTTATTTTTAAACACTGGCAACGGTTGATCTAAAGAAGCACACGGGTGTTGCTAGCCCACTGCAATCAAGGAAAGGGAGGGGACAGTGCTGCTACTTACGTTGCGGGTACGCCTGCCGTGCTCCCACCTGCGAATATGCATTGTAACCAGAAGATGTAGTCTGATGTGGTGGTACACTGGCATTAATGTTCCCTTGCATAATAAACCCTGGAGGAGGAGGAGGGTTTTCTCCCTAGGAAATAAGTGGGGGTGGGTGGGTTAAAAAAAGGTTAGGCTTAGTACGTGGCAGCAAAGATGGGTTGTGCTGGGATTATGCTTTTCAAAGCCAGAGGTTCTGAACTCACAGCAGCCAACAGACCATGCTGCGCTTCCTCTCTACATCCCGCCTTTATCACGTGACCAACTTTGCAAATCGAGCAACCCGAACGTAAATGTGAACTGCAGCCCCCCCCCCGCCCCCCGGAAAACATTAGCATATAATAAACTGCCAAGAAACCACCAATCCCAGTCTAAGGTTAAAAAAACAAACAGTGCAATATAATCTATGAAGAATTCATTTTGGGGGGGGGGGGGTGGGGGGGAAATGGTCATTTGTTTCAGCCAAGATGCTTTTCAAGGATAAACCATTTATTCAATTTGTTATGAAGAAATCGGGGGCTAGGGGAAAGGGGGGGGGAGATTAGATGCCCTTAAACCCATCTGTTCCCCCAGGGGAAGCTAGAGAGCTTACTGCTTCAACTCAAAACAACAATTTTTGAGGGCCAGCTGACGTTTCCTTTCAGCTACAATAAGTACTGTGAAAAATAGCACTGGTGGCATTTTTTCGGGTGGGGGAGGTGGGGAAGCAAATCTGACTGGACTGAAAACCCGTTCATGCCTTCCAGATGGCTTAGAATGCGCTGAGAATATAAAGTGAGCCGGGGGGTGGGTATGCAATGGTCTATATTGTCGGAATATGCAAGAGGAGCAGATCCTGCTCAAAGAGGAATTAATCGATTTATACCTGTGTTTCAGAGGGAGAGGCGGCAGAAGGATGGCTGGGAAGGGCAGTGGGGTTTTTGTTACTCCAGGTAGTGACAGTAGGGGCAACTCTAACCTGAATTGAACAGAGAGATACCAATCATGGAAAAATAAAACGAAATAAAAAAACCCAAAGGGTTTTCACACAAGCCAGAATGCTTTAGAAAAAAACGAAGCAAATATCACAACAGTGCTTTATTTCTCATGCCGGCAAGTAATTAGGATCATTTCAGACCTCAGACACAGCACACCAGGAACTGACCAGTGAGGCAAGAGCAAAGTCTAAGTATGTGGGGGGGGGGCAGAGACAGTAAAGAGTGCTCAAGAGAAGTTTAAGTTGTTATCTATTCATGCTTGCCGTGTCCAGTCAACCGTCATGCAGCTCTTTATCACGTTCTACAGAAATTCGCAATAAACTAAGGTTAGAGACGCCACGTAGATAGGATGACACATACGTTCACTCCCTTACACAGATGCTCATTTGCTAGTCGAGCTTTTTTCTCTTTTTTCTTTTACAAAAAAAAAATAATCTTTATGTGCTGTGTGCCTGTCAAGAGTTATTTGGCTGGAGACTTTTAACACAAGAAGCTTGTAACAAGTGCCATGAACTCCCCAGATATTTATGTGAAGAATTCTAAGGGAGGGAAGGCAACATCAATTCATGCAAAAATAAATAAATAAATCAGTGTTGGTGCTTGAGTACTTTTGGCTGGGATATGGCAAGGCACAGACAAATGAATAAGACATTTCCTCTGTCTGTTTTTTTAAAAACGTTTTACCAAGTAGGACACACAGAGGAAAAGGCCAAGACCTAAGTACCGCCCCGTTGTCTAGATACTGGTGTGCGTTTTCAATTTAGCCACACAAAGGCATATCTCCAAGCTTTGCTTTGCACCTGGGAACGACCTGGAAGTAATGCTTGCCCGTCCTCCCACCCCACCCTAAACCGTCACATCAAAAATACACACAACTTCAAAGGTGGCAACAGACTTTCCCATTCAGAACCTAAACGCTGTTGCTTGCGGGACAGAGAGCCCAGAGCAACTTCCAAACTGGTTTTTAGAAAGGCATCCGCATCCGTTCATATGGACCCTTCTCTCTCTCGCATAGCTTCATTTAGCTGTGTTTAACCCTACGACAGTACCAGCACAAATACAGTTAACCCTAATCAGGATTCACTTTTAACTATGTTTATTTATATATTTATTACCGAATTTGTACCCCACCCTCCCCGCGAAGCAGGCTCAGGGCGGCTTCCAACATGACATACATACAGCTTAAAACACAATTATTAAAAACACGACAAATCAACTATAGTATGTAAATCCGCTTCAGGCCATGGCTACAAAAGCAACCTTGCCTAGGTCTGAACCAAGGCTCCCTCTCAGCTGTGGAGTCTTGTGAGCAAAAATCCTACTCTGTGACCTACGGGCATTAAAGTTGTGAGCGGGCGATTTGGCTGCTGCATTAATTAGTTTGCTCTGGAGCCCCATCCTTCCTGAGCTGAGACAGAAATGTGTGAGCCGGAGGCTAAAAAACTATGAGCTAGCTCACACTATGTCAGCTTAGAGGAAACACTGGTCTGAACTACATCTGCACTATGCTGTATCAAAAGAGGTGATGCTAAGGGAACCAGGACATGAGACACAGTGCATGTGTGTGTGCGTGGGAAGATCTGAAGGTAGTACCTGTCTGTTATCTGTTTTTTAGGTTTTTAAAGATTTCTTTCCCCCGCTGGTAGAGAATTTAGTTGATAAAGCATCTGTAGAAGGAATCTTGAGGGTGTGGGAGGGGGTAACCGCCTCCTGCCTCTCAACCCCCCCACTACAAAAGCTCCCTCCATTCACATTTTTACCCTCCAAACGCAGGCTTGGGGAAAACACCTTTCCAGAGATAACATGTCAGCCTTCTCATGTAATGCAAGGAGAAAAGAGCAGAGTCTCAAGACAAATCGAGTTCCTTTTATTCTCTCTAAAATTAAAGTCCTGCAAGTTTAGGACTGGAGTACCTGAAGGACAGTCTTCATCCCATATGTTCCTGCCCTGGGCATTAGGATCGCAGGGCGAAGCCCTCCTGACTATCAAATCCATCAAAAATGGTTGTTTGGTGGGTACAGGAGAGAGACAGGGCCTTTTCAGTGGCAGCCCCACAATGACAGAACAGCCTACCCAGGGAGGTGCACCTGGCCCACCTCGCTCTAAATCTTTTGGAGGTCACTGAAGACCGTTGTATTTAGGACTGCATTTGATTAAGTTTGTTAGCAGTCCTGGGTTGTGATTTCAAATGTTGGGTTTTATGTTTTTAATGCCTTTTATTTTATGTGGTTTCTCTATGCCGTACGCCGCCTTGACCTCCGGAAGGAAGGAAGGCGGCTAATAAATGTTTTAAATAAATAAATATACACTATTGTGCTAGGGGAGCAATCTCTGTTATCCATGCGCCTGGAATTACCAATTTGAGATTCTTGCCACTTTGCATTTGGAAAAGATCTTTAAGGTCACAGTTAACAATACTTTCTTTTTGGGGGGGGGGAACAACGTATCACTGCTCTTCATAAAATATCAGAGCATAAAGAGAGCACTGGGGGCTAAAAATGTCCTTGAATTTACCCCTGAATGCTATCCTCTAAGTCGGTCATTCCTTCATCTCAGTAGGTTCTCTGGGGCACGCAAAACACATCTTGCCGTGTCTGAGAAACATTTTCTTCTACTGAAATTCCCCATTATGATCTGTTTGTGGCCCATGGTGCCAGATCGGAGTCCGCAGGCACAGAACACCTCCCATACCCTGACTCATCACAATACTTACCAGCACCGGACACAATCAGCTGACGTTCTCTTGCTTTTCATCTGCTGTCCTGTTAAATATTACCTACCTGGCCCGGATTCACTTGCTTACGCATCTGCCACATAACGGCTTGTACACGACAAAACCCTCTCGAGCCAACAACTGTCTGGCTGACGTTGTCCCCCTAACACCACCTTGCAAGGCCTTAAAAAACACTTGTTCTTCAGTACCACTTCAAGGCCACAGGGTGCAAAAACTACGCAGTGACTAACTACAAAGTGAACAACAGCGGAGAGAAGAAGGGGTGGGGTCAGGGCCTCATGCAGCAGTCCTCCCACCCCCCCGTGGGCGTGGCTTGGGAAAGATCACAGAAGAACGCAAGTCCCCCAAAGCTGACTGCCAGAGGTCTCCTAACATCGAGTGTCGGGCCAGCCTGACGTATTGAAAACAATGGGAAAAGGAGTAAGCTCCCCTCTCTTGCACGAGCAGCCACAGAATCAGCCTTGCAAATGAGGCTACAGAGCTTACTAGCCCATCTGTTCAGCAGTCCACCCGTCCAGAAATATCAGTGCTAGTCATCCAGCCTGACGTATTGAAAACAATGGGAAAAGGAGTAAGCTCCCCTCTCTGCACGAGCAGCCACAGAATCAGCCTTGCAAATGAGGCAGCAGAGCTTACTAGCCCATCTGTTCAGCAGTCCACCCGTCCAGAAATATCAGTGCTAGTCACTTGGGATGGATTGACTCAATAATGGCAGCCATGGCCTTCAGTTTCCTAGACCGGAGTGAGGCTGTGAATGACAGGACGTTCTGAAGTTCATTAAGTTCACCGGGTCACCATAAGCGAGTTGATGGCACATTACGTACAGTCGTGCAAATCACAACAGCCGGAAAAGGAAAGGGGGCAGGAGGAGGAAACCCATAACTTCTCCAGTGTGCAAGATCTTTCCAGACTGGTCATTTTGGAGAGAGTTTCTTGCTTACAACAGGCAATCAAGCCCTGTGACTGTTTTACAAGCCTGCCCACAAGCAGGCGACATGAACTTGTG